CATAGGCATTTGAACTATTTGTTGTATGCTGTTCATCTCTGCACTATAGACTGGGTGCGAGTTCATCTTCAATTCATTTATTGAGCGGGAAGCTGTGGCTCAGTGGATTTAGTTTAGTTTAGTTTATTTATTTAAACGTGTCGTGGACAGTCCCCATCGATGAACTGTCACAAAAACAGTAAATGGTGCAGCTTTAGCCGACATGGCTAATTTCCAGCTGTTGTCCCTGGCCAGAGGGTAATAGACACCCTTAAAATCACAATATATCAACGGCATTAGTTATAAGAAAATATATAAAATAAAATAAAAAGGAGGAAAGACAAGTAGATACCGGTGTGAGGATAAAAGAGAACAATAAACAACACACGTTACATACAGTACATGTCACATATAGCACATCACAATCACATAACAGAAACGAGGGGCAACATCCNGAATCAAATCAAAAACAAAGCTTGATTTGTGAGCATTTCACAAGGGTGTATAGTTTAGTTTATTTATGTATAGTGTCGTGGACAGTCCCCATCGATGAACTGTCACAAAAATAGTAAATGGAGGAGCTTTAGCCGACATGGCTAAGTTCCAGCTGTTGTCCCTGGCCAGATGGTAATAGACACCCTTAAAATCACGATATATCAACAGCATTAGTTATAAAATAAAATAAAATAAAAAAAAGGATGAAGGACAAGTGGATACAGGCAGAAGGATAAGAGAGGATAAAAGAGAACAATAAACAACACACGTTACATACAGTACATGTCACATATAGCACATCACAATCACATAACAGAAACGAGGGGCAACNTCTCAGTGAACCATGTTTTTAAGTGAGCTGCGAAGGTGGTATGTGTATGTATGTCTTTGATTTGAGCGGGTAGAGAGTTCCAGTTTTCTATTGCTCTGACCGAGAATGATGACTGACCAAAAGTACTCTTCCTGAATGGGACTGATAGGTCGCCACGTGTGGATAGTGTGCTGGACTTGGAATCAGGGGGTAGCAAGTTCGAGCCCCACTGCATGTCGTTGTGTCCCTGGGCAAGACACTTCACCCCAAATTGCTCCTGTGGGGATTGTCCACAGTACTGAATGTAATGTAATGTCATGTCATTTAAAGTCACACTTCTGCAGAGACTATATGAAAAAACAAAGAGGTCTCACTCCGTCCTATTAAACTGGTGCAGTGTTCCGGAAGTAAATCTATTGATAACTGCAGCTGGAGCACTGCCCAGTTCTGGGTGGGCTTCAACCATCTGTTCAAACAATGGGCATCTGTGCTGAAGGGTGATTTATAGATGTTAGTACTTCAGTAATTGATTTTAATTTTATGAGGGGATGTCAATTTGAGGGTAGAAGGCTATGCTTCCATTTTTATAAACACATGAACAAATAAAAATAAATAAATAAATAGGGGGATAAATAAACTGGGGAAGTGAATAAAAACAAAAAATAATCTATACAGAAAATAATAAATTTGGATGTATTAAGAATGAAAAAACAGAAGAATTATTGGTTGTTATTTTTCTATTTATTTATGGTTCTTTTACTGTGCACATTCATTTATTTTGATAATAACCTGTAGCCTATTTATTGTTTCTGAATACACATTTCTTGATTGATATATCGATTAATTTATAGATTTTTGTTTTATTGTATAATTGAAATAAATACAAACAGTGCAGAAACGTCTATTTGAGGGCAGAAGAGCATGGAGATGTTAAAGCTTAAATACATTGGAATAGATAAGGAGATGAATAAACAGGGACATTAATAAAAACAAACATTTATTTTAAACAGAAAACAATAACTTTAGATTCATTTAGCATGAAAAAAGTCATGCAAAAATGTAATAAATCAAAAATAACAGCCTGCATGTCAACATGTATTCATATAGTATGTTTTTCTCTGTGTAGATGGCACTGCAGGTTGCAAGGGTGACACACATTTCCCCACCAGTGCTTGCAGGTGCATTACTTTGATTAGCCTAAGCAGTTTATTTCGCGGAATTCTGGGACTTGTAGTCAGAACACCAAAAGAATGAGAGGCCGGCATGCACACTGCAGTGATGCGCACATCAACTTTGCTTTAACATCTCCATGAAGCTGAGCAGCCATTGGTTAATGCTCTGGATGTAGATTAAAACCTTTTACACTACATTAGAGCAACATATTCAAATGCAAATATCCATATGTATATGTCAATGTGATGATGACTGTCTATATAGCATGTTCAGACATTGATAGGCTATCTGATGCATACAACAATTATTTTATGTTTTGTAAATATCGTTCAAAGTGGTGCAATGTGGGGAAAAACAGCAGTATTACGTAGAAAAGTGACATCATCTCCTCAAAGTCAAGGACTCCCGGCACCATAAAACACCATGATGGGTTTCCTAATATATCCTCTGAACATCATATGCAATATAAAAAAACTCTTAGAAGTCAAAACTCCAACAATAAATATGCAAAAATACGTCACTCACCAGAGTAGCCTACTTCACTGTCAGCAATCCCAGGCTATAGCTAGCCTACATTCCCTCAATCATTTACATCCCAATGTTTTGCTTAAAATACCCTTCTGCAACACCCGGGTACATCTTAATGCCGCATTGGAGAGACGGAGACAGAGATACTTACATTAGCAGCAGGCTGGCAGCAGCATCACTGCAGCATCTCTGTCCTCTGCACCGCACACAACTTCCTTTAAACCGTAAACATGACAAGAAAAGGTACCCAACGTGAACACTTCAGAGATTTTGGTTTGCATGGAATATGTCTTCAGTTGAGATGTCTAACAATCGCGGACAGTTTCATATACTGCAGGATTTTAGAGCACAGGTCTCTTAAAGGGACAGCTGCGGTGTAAAGCCCCAATGGGACTCACCAGCAATACGGGCTGGTCGAGTAGATTAGAATTCACTGACAAGAACCCAGCGGTGGATTGTTTCTATGCTACGTACATTTACTCAAGTACTACTGACTGTACTTAAGTACAATTTTGAAGTACTTTACTTTAGTATTTCCATTTAACGCGTCTTTATAGCCTACTTTTGCTCATTTTATTAAACAGCTTTAGTGACTTTTTAGATTTTGCATTTGAAAAGTTTGAAAATAATGCAACTCTAAACAATATATTTGTTGCTGTTCAAGTTACAACTTACAATTATGCAAAAATATTACAAAAAGTTATTGCAGGTCATATTCTGCTTTTTACGGTTCTCCCTTTCCTGAAGTGTGTTATAAAGGTGCATGTAAATGGTTTTCAAAGGCTAAAATCCTTTCACTCCATAGAGAGTTCCTCTCGCCCTCGCTCTCAGGGGAAAAAAAGAGAAGGTATTCAGCCTTGATTTAAGAATAAAAAGTTGCAGTGGACCAGCAGTTCTCTGGTAGTTTATTCAAGAAGACTAACAAATAAATAATGACACCAACGTTCCAGTAGATGGAGACAACTGCAAGGCTGAAGTGTCTAAAGAGGAAGAGCCTTTGACTGCAGTATACAGACCATGATACAGACTCATGTCAGAGTGACATGCAGATCACCAGTGCACAAATCTAACCTCAACATAAAATACATGCATTTTAGCAATAACAGTTAAAAACAGACATAAGAATATGCAACTGTCACAGTGTAAAACTATTCATTAAAAACAAATAAAGTTGATGAAAAAGTTAGATCTTCAATCGGCCTTATTCTGCTTTTTGTGGTTTTCCCTTTCCTGTAGTGTTATATTGTTTTTTGTGCATGTAAATGGTCTGCAAAGGCTAAAATCACTGGGACATGACCTATCACAACAGAGCCGTCCAGCTAACCAATCAGAGCAAACTGGGCTCTGGTTTTAGACAGAGGGTGAAAAGAGGTGCTGCAGCACAGGCAGCAGAGCAAAAATAGGACAAAAATGTTGGACATAAAGCATGGAAACGTGTCCCAGTAGAGGCACAAAGTAGAACCAGTATGAACCTGAATATGAGCATAATAGTTCCCCTTCAACTCGACACATGAAGTGTTAATAATACTTTATTTGTGGCATATTTCACAAGAGACATGTGAATAAATAAACTAAGCAACATCTAATTACATTTGCAAAGTAATTACATTTGCAAAGTATAGCTGCTTGAATGGATGCAAAACATGCCCAGACATGTACAGTAATTGTCCACTTTAGCTGCAGTGTTGAACTTTTGTCCTCTGTGTCTTTGCCTCCGTGCAGAAATTCACACACACGCACACATGCACGCTCGCACGCGCGCACACACACAGTCATTGTCATAGTCTTATAGTCACAATCCTCACAAATCAACTCGGTCGCAAAAAATGAAATTTCACATTTAGGAATATGAAGAAAATAATAATCAGAAAATGGAAAAACATTTGAGGTATTTAACAACATCTTTACTTGAGTCAGGATCTTTATTTAAAGGTTTATTTTTCTCAGTGGGACTGATTTTACTTTCAATGGCACAAGTTTTGTAAAAAAAAAAAGAAAAGACACACGGATATATATTTTGTATTAAACTTTATTAAATAAGTTGTCCAGCCATGATGCAAAAGTTCCAACACATAACAAGCAATGATCCCTTTCCATGAATACAGTATATTTTCCAGCATGCAGACAAAATCAGTAAGTTGTCATTAAACCTGCTCTTCCTCAGAGTTTAATAAGAATACAAAAATATATATATATCCACTTTTTGTTAGATGCTATAGGCATTTCATCGGCTTGCACTCTGCACAATGACAAAAAAAGTAAATTGGGACCGACAGGGACCCTGTGAAGGTAGGTCGACGGACCACAGTTTGGAAGCCACTTGGCTGGAGCTCAAAATCCAAGAGACCAACTTCCATGAAACAGCCATTAAATAAACCACACACACACACACACACACACACACACACACACACACACACACACACACACACACACACACACACACACACACACACACACAGTGAAGAGGGAGAGAGTAGACTCTGATAACAAAGCGGCAGAGGAAACGCTGTTATTGATCACATTTCTCAGCCAGTGTGTGTGTTTGCCTCGCGCTGTGGGACGGCTCTTTGATGTGAGGCAGGCTGATCAGGGATCAGATACACGCGCGTCAGATCCATGAAGCCACCCCCTCTACCCGTCTTTGATCTGTGGCAGAGTGTAGTCCTGCTCGCTGTGTTTCTGCAGCTGACATGGTGAGCGGACCGGTGCGGGACACACAGCTCACCTCTCACCGGTCTGCTGTCGACTTAAAACCACCAACAACTTCACTTAAATACTCTTTTTCTCTCAGGTAAGAAGAGACTTTCATTCGTTTCTAGACGTTCGATGTTTGGGCTCTTACGACAACGAACACAGAACAAGCCTTTGGTTCGTTTTGGTTCGTTTTCAAGCTTTACATGTGCACTAGCCACTGGTGTAAAGTAACTAAGTACATTTACTCAAGTACTGTATTTTAGAACAATTTTGAGGGACTTGTTCTTGACTTCAGTGTTCCATGTGTTGCTACTTAGTACTTTTACTCCACTACAAGCCAGAGGTAAATTGTGTATTTTGACTCCACTACATGTATTTAATACCTTAGCAAATTTCGATTGATGATGTGAAATATAATCAACACTTATATAAGACTTTAGTTACACCTGGAGTCAAATTCTCAAGCTACCCTGCAGTATACAAAGTCATTAAAACTAGCTGCACATTTACCAGCGTTGATAACACTTTAATGCATCAATAATTATAATCACAACATATAATATATATTATTCTGAAATGTGCCAATCTGCATAATGAGTACTTTTACTTTTGGTACTTTAAGTATATTTTGATGCTGATACTTTTGTACTTTTACTTGAGTAAGTAGGTTCTTACACTCTGGTACTTCTACTTTGACTTAAGTCAGAGATATACTTCTCCCACCTCTGACTATTACAATACCGATGCTGTTATAGCTACACTGTAAGATAAGCTGACTGTAATGTGGCTTTAAAATGTGCAGTTGTTGAAAAGTTACTCCGATGTTTTACTTAAGTAAAAGTACCGATACTACAGAGTCAAAATACTCAGTTACAATTCATAATCCTGCATTCAAAATTGTACAAAAAAAAGTATTAGCAACATTAAGTTATTATTAATTATGTAACCTTATGTACCGAAGTAGTCATTGTGCAGAATAGCCCATTTAAGCACCGTATATGTTGGTACTTTTTAAAATGATAATTATTTTTGCATTAATGTGTTCATCACTTCACTGTGGCACTTGATAAAGGTGGGGTTTATTTGAATTACATTATACACTGCTGGGTAGCTTTACCTATATAATGTGATATTATACAAGTTAATTGATATCTTTTAATAATAGTGGTAACTAAATGTGTTAAATAAATGTAGATTAGTAAAACTATAAAGTAGCATAATGTGAAAATGCTCAAGCAAAGAAGTATCTAAATTGTGTACTTAAGTTCAATACTTGTCTTTATGTACTTAGTTACATTCCACCACTGGAAAAGTACTCAGATGTTTTACTCAAGTTCAAGTAGCAGTACATAATAGTAATTTAAAATGTTACTTAAGTAAAAGTAAAAAAGTATCAGCATCAAATTAGACTCAAAGCACTAAAAGTAAAAGTACTGGTTATGCCTAAAGACCCATTTCAGAAACATAAGGTGTACATGTATATGAAATGACTGGATTATGATCGGAGGTGAAAGAAAGTGATCAGATCCTTTACTGAAGTAAAAGTAGCCATACCTTAATGTCAAAATACTCCATTACAAGTACAATTCCTACATTATGAAGTACAGATCAGAGATCAGTTTAATGAACTTAAAGTATAGCAAAGTTAATTTATGCTTTTTTATTACAACCTCTACAGATTTACATTAAGAAGACTCATAGGAACATTACATTAAAATAAATAAGATGGAAACTAAGTACATACTTGTACCTTACTTTAGTATTTCTATACTTTTACTCTACTTCACTTAGCTTTAGGGACTTTTCAGATGTTGAATTAAAACATGTGATAGTTTTTCAACATAATGAATCTCTAAAAATGTAACTAGTGGACACACATGTTTAAGGTACAACAAAGTACAATTAAACAATATATTACAAAAAAGTATTCGCATTAATAATGTGTGCATCAAAACTGTGTTTCAACAACAGTAAAATGCTGCTTGATGCAACAATATTAACAATCTCAAAATGTCATATATAAAATAATATATCACATATTTCTGCATAGTTAGTACTTTAACTTTGTATACTTTAAGTACATTTTGCCGACCTGTACTTTTACATCAGAAGGTAGGAATTTTACTTGTAATGGAGTATTTTGACAAAATGAATGGCTACCTTTATTTCAGTAAAGGATCCGAGTACTTCTTCCACACTGATCATAATCCAGCACATTTAAATATATGATCCTGAAATGGGCCTTTAGGCATTACCATTACTTTTGGTACTTTAAGTATAATTGAATGCCAACACGTTTTACTTTTATTAAGTACGATTTTGAATGGAGGACTTTCACCTGTAACTTGAGTACTTTTACAAATTGACTACTTCTTCCACCACTGCCTAAACCTGCCTGTATTGGTGTTACAACTCAGAAGAAAATGTTAGTTTTGAGTTTTGCCTCTAGTACTGAGTCGCCTTCTGTTGTGTCCTGTTTACAGCTGCAGGCAACAAGTGCTTCATCAACATGTTCAGGATCCTTCAACACACCTTCTCACTTCTGCTCACCGTGCATGTCATATATTCAGCTCTGGTAAGCATTTCATCATTTTATTTTCAACACAAGAAAGAAAACAAGATCATTTTGGTTCTTTTGATTTGCTTACAACCTATAATTACCACAATGTACAGTGTCCGACCCGTGCAAAACATTTCCATTAGGATAAACGCTTTGCAGTTTCAAAACCGATGTAAATATAAAAACACAAATGTGTACATCTTCACCAACACATGGATTTAGAAAACATTCACCAACTTGGCGAAACAAATACAGCATTTACTAAAAGCGCTGTATAAACAAAACACTGCAAGATGGAAGTTGGCCAAGACCAAGAGTGAAAGTACAGTAAAGGCAAACAAAAAATGGTGTTACTGTAGTGGTACATTTGAGTTTTTTTACGTCAAAATTCATAATCATTTGATTGATTTTGATTTGATTGATTAGTACTTTAATACATCCAGAGGTTTGCCATGTCAGAGTTTTTCAGTATCGAGGCAAATCAGGTTTAACTGTCAGGACTCCCCATCAAAGAAGTCTTCTGTCTGAAAAGTTTTACTCTCTTAAAAGCGCTGTATAAACAAAACACTGCAAGAAGCTCAAAACACAACGGAAACCAGGGGACTCTTAAAAGTGATGCACACAGCTTGGACTGAAGCTGAAGTATTTCTACTTGTACCTAATTACCTCACCTCACATGCGCATGAACTGCTTAACAGGCAACGGCTGGTAACACTGACAAGGCTTTGTGTCATTTTACTTTTTATTGTATTTGTTATCTTCTCTCTTGCGATTCTTGTATTTCTTGGACGCCTTCAAAAGGGCCCTCAAGTCCCATCTGTATACCAAGGCTTTCGGCCCCTAAATCGATCTGTTGTTTTGCCTGTCTGACTTTTTGTTTTGTTATGTTTGTTTTTTGCCCTATTACTTGTAAAGCGACCTTGGGTCCCTTGAAAGGCGCTATATAAATCCAAGCTATTATTCTTATTATTATTGTTGCTTTTGATTAAGAATCTGCTGCTTTTCCCACAGGGCTCATTACATGTTATCTCATCCCAACAGTATCAGACTTGTTTTTGAAGAAATCCCTTTAAACTATTATGAGAGAGATTAGCTGTGGATTCAGTCTGTTGTGGATGAAAGTAGTGATGACACACAGGAATCTCTAACTTTCACCAAACGTCTGTCCCCTCAGATTCCTGTGGGGGCCGAGGAGGAGACAAGGGAGTGCCGAGAGCAGGAGTACAAGGACCGCTTCGGGAGCTGTAGGCCCTGCAGGCAGTGTGATGCAGGACAGGAGCTCTCAAAGGTGGGTACACCTTCAATAAACAGGGTTATTTATTTTAGCTATTAGGCAGCAGCTGTTGGAGCTAAATGCTAACATCAGCATGCTAACATGTTCACTAGGGATATGCTGTTTGACTAGCTCTAACACCCACTGTGCCTAGTACCAGTGCTTGAAAGTAACTCAAATGTACTAAAGCACCATATTTAAGTACTATTTTGACCATGCTCACCATCTTAAAAGAGCTAGCTAGCATGCTAACATGAGCTAAATGGTGCTAAAATGATTACTGTGCCTGAATGTCATTTGTTTTTGCAGCCATAAACAAACCTGTGAAGTTTTGTGAATCCTTAAAATATGCCTTCACGTTACACGGCTGATTCTCAAAGGTTTTTGTTGCTGTTTTTCTGGTTTTATAGATTTCAAAAACAATTAACAAAAGGGGAACACTTACAACATTTGCCTTGGAGTTGAGTAGAAGCATGAAGCAGCATAACATGGAAATACTCAAGTAAAGTACAAATACACTTGAGTAAATGTACTTTCCACTATTGGTAGTCCAATGAGGGATCTATTATCGGTCAGTTGAATCAACTTCCTGTACCTAAAGGAAGTGGGATGGTGAAAAAAAACCTCTCTGCAAATGAAAAGCAAGGACGGACAAGGTTTAGAAAAGTGTATCCAACATTATTTATTACTTCCTCTCTTTCATGCAGAGAGCACCCCTCTTTAATCAGTCACACCCATACTCCTGACCTCCTGCGGCTGAATGGCTTCCATTGTTTCTCCCCGCTGCTCCCTGTCCAACTCATTGTCTTCACCGTTTGAAGCCAGCCATGCCTAAGCTTGCTGCTCTTTCAACTGGGACTACACTTCTCCTCTCCTCCACCTACCTTAGCCACAGGTTTATGTGTGCTTTGTACAAACAGGCTTCAATAGAGTCAGCTTTTTCCTCTCTGGCAGCCAGCGTTGGGAGGGTTACTTAAAAAATTTACTCTGTTACAATTACTAGTTACCTGTAAAAACGCTTAAAATCAGTGACTCGTGTTAACTATGTTCGTTATTCTCGCGTCCAGGAGAGAAGCTTTAAAAATGGAGTCTCTGAGAAGATTCAAATGGGATACTTTAATTAAAAAAGGCGCGAACAAGCAGAATATTGTTCAGGTGAGGAGAGAAAAGTTGCAGCTCCCTCTCGCAATGGCGGCCGTGAAGAAGAGAGCACACAAGTCTTCGTACTTCCCGCTTGCTGGCTGTTCGCTCCTCCTCTCTGGGAGTTGCAGTGACGTAGGGGACTCCCAAGCGGGAAGTACGAAGACTTGTGTGCTCTCTTCTTCACGGCCGCCATTNTGAATGTAAAATGTCGGAATCCTCCGTATAACGCAATATCGGACTCAGAAGAACGAGGGGGGAGTCCCCTACGTCACTGCAGCTCCCAGAGAGGAGGAGCGAACAGCCAGCAAGCGGGAAGTACGAAGACTTGTGTGCTCTCTAGTGATGGGATTTATGGCTCTTTGAAGGGAGCCGGATCTTATGGCTCCGTTCCTTTCAAAGAGCCGTTCAAAAGAGTCGTTCAAAAGAGCCGTTTTTTTAAAGGGGGCGGGGTTACTAGGTTTATCTGCGAAATAATCACCAGGATAATGATTGACTGTATTGCCAGACCTAATGTCAATAATCTGCATTGTAAACATGACAGTGAATGTATTTTGAATGTAGCCTCCAGCATCCAACTGCGTTTTCGCGTTTGGCTCATTTTCCATCCGAAAAACACGTTGTCTACCTCTCCTGTACCACTTGTTATGACTTCTCTCTCTCGCGTATTCCGTTAAGACCCACCCCATCTCACTCCTCGTGCTGANTGTTTGACAGTTTCTATGTGGGCCATGAAAGACATTCTACAGTAGGCCTACAGGAAAGAGATGGAATGAATGAATATTTGACAAACCACATTGCTAAAACATCAATTCACGGCCAACCCAGAGCTCAAATACCTGCACTTGCATTAGAAACCTCTGAACCAGCTCCATTGTTGAGCCCGAGAACATCAGAGCCACCAGCTCCATTGTTGGGCCCTGTTAACTATGTTCGTTATTCTCGCGTCCAGGAGAGAAGCTTTAAAAATGAGACTAAATGGAGTCTCTGAGAAGATTCAATTGGGTACTTTAATTAAAGAAAAAGGCGCGGTAGTGCTACAAGCAGGATATTGTTCAGGTGAGGAGAGAAAAGCTGCAGCTTCCTCTCCAGTGGTCGGACGAGCAGAAGAGATCCCACAAAGCTCCGTCACCTCTCTATATATCTAATTTGGTTCCTCCTCTTCAATGGCGGTGGCGTAATCTTCCGCCCTCCTTTCACCAATGTCCGATATCGCACATAACAGAGGATTTTGACATTGTACATTCAATATATACTTAAACACGCCTCTTCTCCTCATATTCTCTTTCATCACTTTTCATTTAACACATTCTAAACGCTGTAATCAATACTCTAAAAATACTGGAAATACTTCACGGCATTTTGGTTTCCGGTGGTGTTCCGGATGTTGTCACATGCTACCCACGTCTGTAAACAATAATGTATTCAAATAAACTGTACCTTCATTTAATATTCAGCATGGTAGTATCTCGACATCTATAGTTGTAGTGTTAAATCAGTAGGTTTCGGTGTGCATCACTCAATGTTATTTCGCTACTAAATTCACCTCTTTAGGAAATAGTATATTAGCCACATGCTAAATGCTAACCGGAGATGAAGGATTTTCAGAATAAAAGCTTAACAACTGATTGTGCACGAGAATTTCTGTTTTTTTCAGTATAAAACAGCATTTAAACTGACGGTATGTTTAAGCTACATTATACCATCAAAACATTGATTTTAATTTCTAACACTCGAAAAAAAAAAAACGAAACAAAAAGAAGAATCCAAGATATTTAGGATTAAAAATGTGTGTCCCCTTTAATGATATGTATAGTTGTATAGTATAGTGCATTATGAAAGAGAAGAGTATAATGTAAACGTACTGATAATAGTTTTTCTTGCAGTTTTTTAGCTGAGTGCACCCTTTGTAAAGTGTTCCAAGACCAAGAGTGAAAGTACAGTCAAGGCAAACAGAACATGTGTGTTACTGTAGTGGTACCTTTTTGGTTTTATACGTCATCATTCATAAACATTTAATAGGTTAATTAGTACTTTAATACATCCGGAGGTTTGCCATGTCAGAGTTTTTAAGTATAGAGGCAAGTCAGGTTTAACTGTTAGGAGTCACATTGAAAAATGTCTTCTGTCTGTAAAGTTTTCTTTCAATATGACTGAAAACTTCTACTCTCATCCCAGCTTTCCCCTACTGGTGGAAAAAATCTGCATCACGCTTGACATCTGTTGCACACATGCATTTAAGCCTGGTTGCCTTTAATCTCCGTGCACGCAGACATGCACTCTGTGGTCGGTCATACGCTTCAGTAGTCCTCGTGTTCCCTCAGCTCCACAGGCATGAATGCTGCTAGCCACCCCGGGGTCCTGGTTAATAATTGGCCGCCTCGCTCTTTCTCTGAAGGTAGCGGGAGTCCCGCTCACAGCGGCGACCCGGCCCTGCAACTCAGAGAAAATTTCGCAGAGAAAGAACTTCTGAAGACAATCCATGCATGTTCTGAAAGGCAGGGCTCAGAGGGAAGCAGAGTTTTGGAGTCGCTCTGTGCAGCTGCCATGGAGATCCCAGAGGAATGTGCCCCAGTTTGCTCTGGAAGTTTGCCTCTGGAAGCTGCTCTTGGCGGGCTGACACACATCAATTAGCCCCTTTACACTAACTGTAGCTAAAAGAACCACACACAGAGGGAACGGCCATTACATTAAAACCACTTATTCTGTCTCAGACATTTTTCATTCATGGTAAATTGGACTTGTGCTGTATCAAGCATGCGAGGGGAAATGCTGGAAGACTGCCAGCAGCCTAAAAACACAACTTTGATGTGTCTTGTAGTTTGTAGCAAGAGTGAAACATTTCCTGCAGCCACACTTCCAGGGCAAAGGACTTCTGAATGAGAGACAAAAGGGTGTAAAAGCAACTTATACAATTGTCAAATTCAGAGAACAAGCATTATCCTCACTGTTATGTGTATAAAAACAACATAAACCAGCTGTTATAGAGTGAAGACATACTCTGACAGCTCAATCATAGCTATCATTTTAAAACTTAACGGAGGAATGGCTACGGACAGACAAATATTCAAAGTAGCCGTGAAAAAAGCAATTACTCGTAAAGGCAGAACCTTCTACAGTATTGGATGAAAATCATTCATGAGATGGAGAGACTGACATGTTTATAACACTAATAAAAGAGTTATACACTGTCAAATGGTCTCAATATATCTTGAATTTGTATGATTGGAGATATACCCTTCTCATACTGTTGGGATTTATACTGACCTTGATTATTTGCAGGGAAAAATGCATTGATAAATCTCCATCTTGTGTCCATAATACACAATAATTAACTTTCTGAAGACTCTAGAACACAGGCTGTCTGGTTACTGTGCGGGTGTTGCTTTTTAATTGTCTGAACACATGAAGTTTGAGTGGGGGAAAAGTGAAACAGAGAGGAGGAGTGTGTTGTATCCCAGACAGAGCACTGTTCTAGCTCTCATACTTTGTTTTCAGTGTTGGTTCATTACCAGATCAGATGACTTGCTGCCCCCCTTGTGATTCCCTACTAATCTGAGAAATATCTCTGCGTCTGAACATGCTTCAGCTCTCTCTCTCTACACTCCTCTGCTGTTATGCTTGGCAGTCCCACTAAACTAGATCCGGAGATAGGGCATGGAAATGGGATGTTTAGTATCTGTTTTTAAGGATTCACACATGAATGTCCATTAGCTTAAAGGGGCCCTATTATGATAATTTACTATTATGTGTCTCTACTGTCACATGTCTCCATGCTTTAATGTTCAAAAAGCTCTTTATTCTTCTCATACTGCCTGTGCTGCAGCACCTCTTTTCACCCTCTGTCTGAAACCAGAGCCCTGTCTGCTCTGATTGGTTAGTTGATCGGCTCTGTTGTGATTGGTCAACCGCATAGAGATGTCCCGCCCCTTATCCTCATCTCATACAATGTGTTGTAGAGCTAGCCAATAGAAGCACAAGTGTTTATTGATGTCAATATGTTTTAATTATGGTGCTTAAGTAAATGTACTTGTGTTACTGTCCAGAACTGCTTAATGTGTATTCATTTGCAGTTATTGGTGGCTTTTTAATGGTGTGTTGGGAAAGGCTTACACGTTTAGTTCTCACCCTTTCCTATAATAACAACGTCACAGTTTACCACAGAGTAAGGAGTTTCTTTGAGCTGCTCAGTCAGTGCAGGATGTTGGCTCTGCAGCTTTGTTAGCGGGGACAAAAGAAGAAAGAGATCACTCCTTGATGATCTGTGCCGCCTGGATCAGAGGGCCAGAAGTTGGCCTGTTTTTCCTTTTGTTTCAGTGCTCTGACCCGCCCCTGACGACGTGGCATCGGCCCCCGTCCTGCCATGTGGGGCCCCGCAGGCAGAGCTAGTGCCAGTGCTGAGCATGGGGGGGGGGAAACCATCCTTCATGTGGAAGTGGGTCACCTACAGCACTTTCTTGAGGAGTAGTATTAGGGTTGAGTGCTTTGGTAGTTTTCCAGCCTCCCTTCACTCAGCCCGAGCTTCCCACAGTCACGGGGGCACGATGATACGATACGATTTGATATCCGTTACGATATGTTACGATGTGGTTACGATACGATACTATACGTTACAGTACTATACAATCGGATACACCACAATACGTAACGATGCAACACGACACCTTACGATACGAAAGGTACGGTATGATGCGTTACTCTGGGATACGATTAGATACGTTGCGACACCTAACGATACGATATGACACGATACGTTACAATACGATACAATATGTTTAATAAGACCCGTTACCGTACATTTGACCTGGGATTAAACTCTACATGTTTTAATACTTTGGTCTAACCTCATAGGTGGTAACAATCCACATTGGTGTAGTTTAGAAGCAAAGGTCATGGTGAGAAGAACTAAAACTCAACACTGAACTAACACCAAATATATGAATTGTATTTCTGTACTCCAGCTGTTCATTTCCATCTCTTGTTTTGTAATTCGTACTCTTTAAAATCCCTCAAACGTTGTGTTGAAAGACCTCAATGACAAACTGACATTTAAATAACAGCTGATATTACTGTACACCGCGCTGAGTGAAAAGCTTCTGCAGGGATGACATCATGCATTGATCCGTCATTATCAGCTCCGAAGCAGCTGCCCTCCTGTTGTCCAGCGGAGCAATCATGAGCCAGGAGGATAGACATGGGGAGGGGGGCCAGCTTCAAACGGGGCTTCTCTTCTCTCTTCGCCCGTGTCCCGTTTCACTGCCCGGGCATGCAGTCCTGCAGGAATGTGGGCACAACAAGTCTGACATGGGGGGGGGAGGTTGGGTTTGGGGAAGCAGACTGGCAAGATATAAAGAAGGGGGGGGGGGGGGGTAAAGATGCGATCGTCCGATGGCACCGTCAGAAGATGAGGATTTCAGTCCTTCCAGCCAAACACATGACGTTGAACCCTTGAGCCAGCCTGGCCCGAGGTGGACCGGCGATATGGAGCGTTGCAGCTGTTATGAATTCTCCATATAAGGCCGGGAAGGGAAGGGAAAAGTGGAGGTGGGGGGGGAGAGGGACAGAGAAAGAGTGAGAAACAGAGAGGGGGTGGCTGATGAGTGATAAAGAGGGGAAAGACAGAAGAAAGAAGACTTGGTCGCCCACTGTTGCTTCTGAGATTAACACAAACAGAACAGAGGAAATAAAGTCCCTATCGTCCTCCATACTGAAATAATCAAGCAGGTATTTGATTCATATAAATACTTGGGTGTTATGATCAATGGACAAACACAATAAAGTTATTTTGGTATCGTTTCGTGTCAGACCAGAGGTCCTCATTTCTACACTGCCGGTTGTTGTAGAAAACAATGTGGAATGTGAAAAAGTTATACTCATTCTAAAATAAATAATTCAACGAACCAAACATAGTTCTTCTTTCTGTCTACATTTGAGTCAGAGCTGGCAAAAACATATTTTTCCCAAAAAATAATCTTTCAAAAACGTCTTGGTTTCAGGTGAACAAATCCTCAAAAGGTGGTTGAGCATTAGATCAGTCACATAGCAGGAGGAAGCTGTGCTTTTAAAGTGCTGTTTCAATTGTTGAAGACGACAAAAAGAGTATTCAACTTATTTTCTCCATATACCTCTCCATAATCCTTCCCCCCTTCCTGAAGCGTTTCCTTTTGCTCACTGGCCACTCAATCAACGGGACACTCACAGAGTCTGCTTGGAGAGGGAGTTGCACAAAAACGCAGCAATAAACTTGCAATAATACAACAGTGGGTGTCCCCCAGGTCCTTTATTATTCAAATGCCTGGCCTTTCTGGGTCTTGCAGCGGAAGGCCGCTCTTTCAAACGGAGAGAGTCAGGGAGATTATTGCCAGTGTAAGATGGACTCTCAAAAGAGGCCGGCCTTTGTTCCCCTCTGATCCCGCGAACCAAGATCATTCTTTAATTCAGACCCCCGGTAGTCCACATTCAAGCCCTCTTTTCAGCAGCTGTACATCTCCCCAAATCACCAACCCCACCTCTTACGCGGTGTATTTCTCCCGTTAATCCCCCCAGGAATGTGGCTTTGGTTATGGAGAGGATGCCCGGTGCGTGCCCTGCCGGAGCAGCCGCTTCAAGGAGGACCGCAGTCTGCAGAAGTGCAAGCCCTGCCTGGACTGCGGACTCATCAACCGCCTCCAGAAGGGCAATTGCTCGACCACCAGCAACGCCGTGTGTGGAGAGTGTCTGCCAGGGTGAGGGTGACACACACAGCACAGAACAAATGTACTTTTCACAACGACGATAGAGAAAAGGTGGAAGAAGCAGTGAGATCTAAAACGTAATAAAGTAGCTACCAGATAAATTAGTAAAGTAAATATTGCAAAATGTTTTTTTACAACAGTATTGGTTAGTGGAAAATAAGTAGGTAGGTAGGTAGGTAGGTAGGTAGGTATGTAGGTATGTATGTGTGTATATATATATATATATATATATAGCTTGTTAGGAAGGTAGTTATATGACTTGGTAGGAAGGATTTTTGGAAGGTAGGTAGGTCTGTAGGTAACTAGGGAGGAAGGTATATTGGTAAGAAGGATGTTAGGAAGGTAGGTAGGTAGGATGCTAGAATTAAATTACTCTACATTCAAACCTATGTAATACATACATTACAAATTGTGCAAAGTAGCTGTTTTGTTGATTAAAATGTTAATCCAGTGAGGTAGTGCGAGTACAAAATGTGCAAATGTTCATGACAGATTTAAAAATATTTCCCTTTGTGTGTTCAACAGATATTACAGGAAGACCAAACTAAGTGGTTTCCAGGACATGGAGTGTATCCCCTGTGGAGACCCTCCGCCTCCTTATGAGCCACACTGTAAGCACCTCTCCTTTCTGTTTCCTCTTCTAACGCTTGGCCTCACATCAGTGGGACATTTTGTTAAATGTTTCCATGAATGAAGGCTATTCATCCCAGCCCCACAATATGTTTTTAAGATGAAACAACTAGGATACAATAGTCTAAAAGCAAACAGCACACTATTGAACTCTAAGCCAAAATGCTACCAAAACTCAGGCTGCAGTGCCACAAACATGAAAAAAAAACCTGTTCACACACGCTCAAGGTCTTTGGTGTAACCAGAACTGCAGACGTTAGAGCAGTTAATTCAGTAAGTCTCCCTGTGCCAAGCTGCAGCGCCATTTGTGCAAATAAATGCTTGGATTTACAAAGCTAAGCAGTTGAAAAGCTGAAATGGATACCACTAACATAATGCTGGATTTGCCAACGCTGGATTATATTAGCTCAGAATGTCACTCATTTGCAGCACTCAATTTGGATTAAATGAGCAAACTTCCTTAACCAAACCTCTGTTAATATTTCTAGACAAAACATGTCTCAGCAGCATTTAAAAAAAAACTACAACAGGTAGTGTGCTCGTTGAAGGCCGCACAATGTATTACCTTTTGTGCAAAAAAAGAAAGAAAGACGGAGGTGTGTTACAGTGTGTTCACAGAGCAGGACTCACATTCCAGTAGGCTACAGATCCAATTAACGTCTTTTCTTCCGGCCATTAGAAACGGTTAAGTACAACCTCATGATTTCAGGTTTCCACATAAAAACCAACAAGCCAGTGAACTTATACCTCTGGTAATTGAGTGTGACTTCCTGGTGGTAGAGGAGGCTGCAGCTGTTTCTGGGAACACTTTTTGGCAGCGTGAGCATCAGAAGGACCCCAGCCAGGGTTAGCTAGAGAATGGAAACAGTTTGCGTAGTAATGGATTACATGTAACGGGATAACGTAAGAAAAACAATGTATAACAAAGCAAATGCACACATTACGACCCTTCAGGAGTCTCGCAGAGAAACAAGTCTCAGTCAAACCTGAGCTAATCTTCAGTTCATCATCATGGCCTGTAGTTCAGAGAATGAATTCACTTGGGGGACATTTCTCCCTCTACTGTATGTTTTAAACTAAACTACATCACAGATATTTAAAGGGGACCTATCATGCAAAATGCACTTTTTGATGTCTTTTATACATAAACATGTGTCCCCGGTGTGTCGGGGAACTCACGCAGCGTCAGAAAATAAAACCCTCTCTCTTTTCCTCCATACCCAAATCTATAAAACCGGGAGTACAGCGGAGCAGATCCAGATTTGCGTCCGATATGACGAAATATCTGAAATGTGGACCCACGGCCCTATCAGAAACGTTGCTATCAGAAACAATGCCCGACTGTTTTGGACGTAATATGGTCGGTGTTTACATTAACAATCGCTAACGCTCAGAGCTAACCTGTACTGGAGAGCATGTGTGTGAAGAAGCAGGAAATAAAAAGGAACTCACCTTGTGGTATAACCGGCAAGAGAGAAAGCCTTTGAGCTCCATACTGTTTCAGAAATAATCCTTGATAATCCATGATATGGCGTTTCATCACGGCAGTATTTAGTTTAGACAGTAGCTGCCGGGTCCCGCATGAGCTCAGACCCCTTTTTTTAATTTATTTTTTAAAAGTTTTATACCCCAAATCAGCACGTTTGAAACAGGAAGTGAAATAGAGGGATATGAGGCATGGCTAGAATGGGTGATCTGTTTGGTGTTTTGAGCAAAACACTTCATAGACATGTTTTTAATATATTGTTATATATCTGAGACCTATGCTATTGCCTAAGAATAGCATGATAGGTGACCTTTAAGGCACTTGTTTTTTCTATTCACAAACATCTAATTTGAGAAATCCTGATAACTGATGTTTTACTTCAAACTCAAACCATTGTTTCTCTTTCTACTGAGCAAAGAGAGATGAAATGCACACCTGCTTTGTGTAATCCAGTTGGAAATAGTAATTAGAACAATAGAGGGATAAACTACAAAGGGCAAGTATGCATTTGTCTGTCTGCATGATTTCAGTGTGTGTTAGCAAGGTTTAGTCAGCTCTGCAAGATCTACCGTGACAGTGAAAGACTCCAGCAGATGAAACACATTACAGAGGCTGAGGGTATCCATAAAACACAGTCTCGTTTCTTTACTCGGCTCCAAAAAGCCACTGGGGGAAAGAGAGGAGGAGGAAGGGGGAGTTAAGATTTACAGTCCTCCCCTGCACAGATGCACCGCTGCCCCCGGCCAGCGTGGCCTTTTAGAAAAAGATCTGCCCTTCAAGTTTTCACCACCCTCCTGGAGATAACACTGGGAGGGAGGCGCAGGACTTTCAAACATTTGGAAACGCTCCGCTGAGAGTCCCGTCAGGAGCTAACTACCAGCTATGTTCTCAGACACAATGGACATTTTGTCTGGCATGCAGGCCTCGTAGTGTCTGAACTGAGAGCTCACAGATGGACGGACGAGCAGACAGTTGTGTCAAGGCCGGCGTTCATCACACAAACACTGAAACAGAATAATTGAAAGGAATGAAAAAGACAAACAGTAGATGTTCTATTTAAAGCATTACTCTTCCATTAACCTCATCTGAGTATCACAATATAAAGGAACCTGATTACTTTCTTTTGGGTTACCTCAATAGGAAATGCAATGCAGATAGATCCAAGATAAAATAAATATCAACCAGATGTTTTTTAAGTGTATTATGTAGGAGAACAGAACAATGTGACCTTGGAAAGAAGAAACCAAGATAATTAGGGGTCATTTGTTCAGAGATTTTATTTATATGAAAACCTGCCTTTCATTAAGCAACAAACAAAAATCACTATGTGCTTTTTAGTTTTCTACTAACATTGTAATCCTGATAGTAATCCACCATTTAAAAAATATATAATCTGATCACATATTTTTCTATTCATCTGTAAGGGAATATAGTTACTTTTTAGTAACCTAATTACTAGGATACAAACATGTGTTACATGTAATGTATTACTCCCTGAACGTCTCGTGTTATATTTCAGTCTGTTGAGCCCTCAAAGCAGAGATTACCGTGATAATCTCCATAAACACAGACAGGGTATTGTATTTTAAACATCTAACATCTCTCCATTGTGCTTCAATTTGTTCTTCTGGTCACATTTATCTCGTCCAAGGTGGGAGGCATCACTGCACCCCCCTCCTCCCCCCCCCCCCCTAACAAGAGGGCCTCCCTGGTTATCCTGGAGGCGCAAGCACGCTTGCCAGCACCACACCACCACACACACACACCACACAACACACACACACACACACCACACCACACACACCACACACAACAGCACACACACACAACCACAACACAACCACACACACACACAACACACCACACACCACACAACACACCACACACACACACACACCACACACACACCACACACACACTGACCTGTAATTAACGATCTGCCCACACCAAAGTAACCGCAGCCCTTTTCATTCCCCCTCCCTGCCATGGTTGACTTTTATGGGATTGCCCAAACATACCTTTCCCAAATAAAAGAGCCACCTCTTTTCACACCCTCCCCAGGGGGTTTTTCAAACCTTTGTTCTCTTTTGGGGTGTACATCCAGTTCTATTCTAATGTGATTTTATGCAAAACATTAAACGAGTTGGACAAGTATTTATTGCCATTGTATTCCCAGCACCAATGGCCCCTTGTGGTGAAGGGCCATACGACTAACAAAATATAAATGCCGCATCGGTATGTTAACAGGATCCTTTTGTGAAGGTCACTATGTTTC